TTGTCCCAAAGATACTCACTTTGATAAGATAGAAAACAAAGGCTGTTGTTTGTCCAGCTGTTCATCTTCTGTGGTGTTCCCTCTCCTGTAGTTCTGTAGCTGTTAGTCAGTGCATGTAAAGGGTCTGCAGAGGCTCAAATCTCACACTCCCATATCATGTATGTGTTTAGTTCACAGAGATGGTTCATGGGTCATTCTGCCAGTGAGGAGGCCACACACACACACACACACACACACACACACACACACACACACACACACACACACACACACACACACACACAGTGGTGATGGATCAGGACTTCTGATTGCCTTGTCAGACCTCTGGAGCATCTGTCCTTTGGGATGGGTGTGTGTGTGTGTGTGTGTGTGTGTGTGTGTGTATGTATGTATGTGTGTGTGTGTGTGTGTGTGTGTGTGTATGTATGTATGTGTGTGTGTGTGTGTGTGTGTGTGTGTGTGTGTGTGTGTGTGATTGGATTGCTTTTACAGGCAGAAGGTCCGGATGGATGAACAAAGCAGCGTTAGTCAGGCCAAACCCTCCGTGTGTGTGTGTGTGTGTGTGTGTATGTGTGTGTGTGTGTGTGTGTGTGTGTGTGTGTGTGTGTGTACAGACTGAATTTGTATTTTAAATAATAAAGAATGATAGCTGAAAATATAAACATAATGTCAAAGGTAACAAACTAAACAATATACAGTCAAATATACAAAATAATTGACATTGTATAATATGTGGAAAATATAATGTATTCCTCCTCTTGTTCCTCTTCCTCCTCTTGTTCCTCTTCCTCCTCCTCTTCAGATTCGATTAGATTCATCTTTGTTGTCAGTGCACAGAGTATAAGACAACGACATGTAGTCAGCATCTAACCAGACGTGCAAACAGCAGAAATTGAAGAGTTGTTCAGGTATAATCTATATATATATATATAGATATCTATATATAGATATACATATGGTAACACTTTATATTAAGGAACACATATTAACCATCAACTAGTTGTTATCTAACATGCATATTAGCAGTTGATTGGCTCTTTATTAGTCATTATAAAACACTTATTAATGCCTTGTTCTAAATGACCATATTCTACAAGTAATAAGCCATTAGTTGAGAGTTTTTCCTCAATAACCCTCTAATTAGAGCTGATTTATTGCAAGTAAGGAAGTTGTTGTACATGAGTTTTGGTCTTAATATGCGCTGCTCAATATGGGCCTAATAAGGCAGTAGCACCACTACAGGAAAAACTCTCAACTAATGGCTTATTACTTGTAGAATATGGTCGTGTAGAATAAGGCATTAACCTCTTCTACACCGCACCCCCGATACCGGGGGGAAAAACGCGTCATCTGCAGGAAACAGCGTCTGAGGGCATCTTAATATTCAATAAACTATGAATGTTTTATATCCATGTAACGGGAAGAAACTCAGCTAACTGATTTTTTTTTTTTAAACAAAGCTAGTGCTGAGCCTATGAATTAGCCATGAGCGAAAAATGCTAACGGGGTGTTGCACAGAAACTCACTCATAACACCCTTATTACTTATAGCTGCAAGTCCAACCCATCGATCTGATCGTGAGATGACACCGAATCGATCGGTACATACATCATCACTCCATGATAAGAACTCGCAAAGCTATTAACAAGAACAGACATCAAAACATGTGGCGCTAGGTAGCTAAAAACGGCAACTTGGCTCACCTGTGTGGTAGTCTGGTCAAAAGTGGTCTTTAATGGCATTAAAACGATAAAAACGCTGCTGAAGTTAATCCATAGGTTAATCCAATGTGTCCCTTTGAATGATTTCTGATAATCCATGAGAAATAAACCTGCGTTTCCGTTTCCAGATGTCAGAGCAAGAGACAGCTTCACTCTGATGCAAACCTGCATGCGCAAAGCCCCCACCTTTTTGTTTTACCATGTGTGTGAGTGGGGAGATTCCTCTTAGATTCTATTGGCTCTAACGGTCAGAAAGAGATGTCAATCACCAAAATCGACCAATGGGTTCCAGAGAAACGGTAAAACCCCCATTTCCACCCAAATCACCTCAGAGGTGGAGTTTTTTTTGCTAAACCTCTCTAAAAAAATAAATAAAAAAAAATAAAAATTAAATGTCACTTGTTTTGCATCAATCTTGATACAGGGTACTTATTATATGTTGTACTTTGGATTCCTAAAGCTTTTAGTCTACCTTACCATCATCCAAGGGTAGTTTTCACTATAAGTACAAAATATTTTTTGGATGACACTATAATTTACAGTTTTTTACCATGTTCAATCTGCATTTTCTTTAAAATAAAAAACATCTATATTGATTCTGACTTTTCTACATCCAACTCACAGGTTTATAATTACTTTGAGAAAAAAGATTATTAATGTAACCCTTTTAGAAGATATGGTCATTTGTTCTGGGAATGTCAGTTTCGAGCCTGAGACCTGAAAAACAGGCTCCGGGCTTCACAGTGTTTTATAATGACTAATGAAGAGCCAACATACTGCTAATATGCACGTTAATTAACAACTAGTTGATGGGGAATTTGTGTACCTTAATATAAAGTGTTACCATATATATATATATATACACAGCAGTATATAAATTGGAAACATAGATAAGGTATTGTCCTCTTCTTCCTCTTCATCCTCTTCCTTCTTCCTGCAACAACATGCAACACACATAAAGTATAAATAAACTTGAGGAAGATGAAAACTATTGCACTAGGTATTGATCCACTGATTGGGAATCAGAGGGTAACTTCTGAAAAGATGAGATGTTTCAGGTGAGTCCTCTTCTGTATTTCCTCCAGAGAGCCTGCACTGCCCCCCTGTGGTCAGAGAGAACAACAACAAAGGGTTTGAATACTGAGGGAACGCAGTTTTTATTTGCATGTACAGCACTTTGGCTCGACCAAAAATCGTTATTTTATGCCATTGTTTGTTTTTCACTTTGTTCTGACAGCTTGCTGCTCCTCACAGAGAGAAGAGCAAAGAGGAGATAGTGTGAATTACTTTAAATTATTGTTCTGTGACCTGTCAATCATCAAACCGGAGGTCATATTTCATTATGTGTTCATTTTTATCTGAAGTTGTACCCATGGATGTATAAAGAATAGTTCTACCGCAAAGTTCGTGGGGACTTCCGGCAACAATCTTGATTCTGATTGGCCAGAAGACTCGGAAAAACATCAGCAAAGATGTTTTATTGAGAAGATGATCACTACGTGACAGAAGTTTTCAAAACCGTTCATGGTCTCCGGTACTTCCAGTCCAACGCCTACTGCATCCACAGCGTTAGAAAATCGGGCCTTCAAAATACATCTGCGACCCACTCGAAACGGGTCTGCGACCCACTCGAAACGGGTCCGCGACCCACCAGTTGAGAACCACTGATTTAGAGGTACTTGTACTTTACTTGAGTGTTTACAGTTAGTGTTACTCTGTACTTCTACCCCACTACATTTATTAAACAGCTTTTAAACTAAATCTAAAAATGAAACTAGTGTACAAACTCTTTATGACACAGAAGAGTCAAATTATTTAAAGGTGACATATCATGCTATATTTGAACAATATATTGTAGGGCCATACCTATATAAAGTATATAAATATAGTTTTTTTTTTCAAAATACCAAACAGATCCCGCATTTTAGCCATGCCTCATTTCGCTCTATTTGCTCCTTCCAGCGCTGTTTTTGCAGGGGGCTGATTCTGTGAGCTGCAGCTGACCACGCCCCTTGTAACGGGCCACGCCCCCTGTAGTTGACCACGCCCCCCTGCAGAAGAGGGGAGCGTGCTCTGAGATCAGCTGCTGGGCTGCAGCGGGGAGAAGAGGGGGAGAAAAAGAGATCTCTGTCCTCCGTGTTTTATTCTTATATGATTATATAGAGTCGTTATTCATTTGTTTTAAAGCTCAATAAATAACAAAGAAAACCTTTGAACGGCACTTTTCTAATTTTGTCCGGAAGATTTAAACTTTAACGGACATGTTGACTGAAACTGAAAGTCTGCCGCACGGTCCCCTCGTTCCTTGGAAGAGGTGGGTGTTTGTCATCTGCTGGTGGACTACTGGAGAGAGTTACAGCGAGGGAGGAATTGCATTGAATTACAGGAGCAAACGCTTGCCTCGGGGAGGGAGAAAAAGAGCCACAGCGGAGAATAAACAGAAGGGCAACCATGGCAACCATGCAAGGGAAGTCTTCTTTGCTGCTTTTGTGGCAGACTACAGCGCCACTTACAGGCCTGGCATATGTACTACAGCGTCTCCAGCGCTTTCGAGCGGCAATGGCCAGCCGTGGCCCAACCTCTCATTCCCCTGAAAGGTGGAGAATTGACCACTAGCCGTAGCGCCACTTTACTGACGTCAGTAAAGTGTTCAAATCTGTATCAGTCTGTGTCAGATCTGTTGCAGCCCCTTTTTTAGAGATTTGGGTATGGATGAAAATAGAGAGGGTTGTGTTTTCTGACACTTGGTGAGTTCCCTGGAACACCGGGGACACATGTTCATGTATAAAAGACGTACAAAAGTGCATTTTGCATGATAGGTCCCCTTTAAATATTACACAATTTATCTTCAATGTTTTTATTATAAATATATATTTTTATGTAAAATGTTTTTATTTAAATATAATTTTTTATCACGTTCTTCATTCAATTTTTTTATATATTTGTAAATGTTCTTTAAAATGTTGTATTTAAAAAAAATATATATATATCTTTACTGTACGTGACTTATCAGGTTGTATGAATGACATATTTATGACATCTGCCATTGTGATGAAGTCCAGGATAGTTTGTTGATGGGCAAAAAGTCAAAAAATGTATTTAGTTATTTACATCTGAATATCGTACTAAACGAACCAAATGTTAAAAAAAAGAATAACCTGAAAAAAAAACGTGGGACTTTCAGTGTTGATAAATTCTTAGAGATTAATGGGTTAACATTTTTAAACTGATGTCATATACTGACAGAGCTCCTCCCTCACTGACTCACTGAGACTAACCAGGAAACAGTTTGTTCTTCTCCCTCACAGACGGACTGAAAAACAGACGATCAGATTCACCTTCAGACCAAACTAACAACTTCCTCTGAGTTCAGCTGCAGGAGAGAAAAGTGGAAACTATAGCCCTGCTGCTTCAACCTGCGGACCCTCCACCCCCCGAAGGTGAGTCTCCAAACATCACTCAAAGTCAGTGGCGAGCCGTGACTTTTATACCTAGGCCCTCTGACCCCCCTTTCCTCGAAAAAAAGAAGAGTTATTACGTCACAGCGTATACTTCAGCGGAATATCAAAACAGCGGCCAGAGGTGCAAAACGCATCAATGACAGCGACCCTCTACCACACAGAACAACACCATTTATATAAACACCAGTGGCGGCCGGCCCATAGGGGCGCTAGGGGCGCCGCCCCACCTCTTCCCACATTCAAAAAAATATATAAAAAAATATATTAAATTAAAAATATATATATTTAAAAAATATATATATTTTATATTTTTATTTTTAATGAACAAGGTAAATATCATACAATTGGTATCAGTAAAATGTATAATCTACAATAAAATCTCGTTTAAAATTGTGTTACGATGTCTAAAGTTACTGATAAGTCACATGTTTCCTGCCTGGCCTTGCCCGTGGCATTAGTTTATCATTACCGGGCGGAGCCCCCGAGACAAACAGCAGCAACCAGCACGTTGCAAAAGTCTCAATAGTAAACTGTGCCGCCGAAACATAATTTCAGCCAATCAGCGCCGTCAAATATTTTGGTCACGAGGGCGCTCACGTTGGCGCCCACGTTGCTTACGTGACGTGAGTTGTTTTTTAGACTCATGAGTGACCAAGGTGACGCATTATTTAGAATGGTGTGCAGGTGGAGTCGCCGGACCTCGGTCCGCCCCCAATTCCGTGCAAGAGCTACTCTCCAATCCTTTCCAAAGGAGAAGTTTGGGAGATAAATTGATACTTAAAGACCTTGGACCGGACCAACCCGATTTGTATATATCACAGCAAGCTCGTGAAAAAGACAAAACGTATCAACGAGGCTAGCTAGATGCAAACGATGCAAACAGGTAAATGCTATCTTTTGTTTCCCATGCTTGCTCTTCAAACAGCCGGGGACAGATACAATCTGTTCAGAAACTAGACACAAGTTAAACAAGTACAAACCACAGACTGTCTGTGTCATGGAGAATACAGTCGCTGGTTTATTTATGTCTGTATAGGCCGTTGTTGTGAGTGTGGACGGTCGGAACATATATAACGTTAGCTTAGCCAAGCTCCATTCAGAAAACAAGCATTCTAAAGGGTGTTTCTCTGCCGTCTGTCTGCAGACTTGTCAAAGCATTAATTCATGGTTTTTACTAACCGGTATCAGTATGTTGTTACTTCGGCATCATTTAGAAACGTGTATTACAATTAAATCACGGTCAAATATGTTCATTTTGTTGTAGTTGTATCTCCCGAGCCAGCGCGTCTTGTTTGAATGATGCGAGTAAACACAGCTGGCAGCCGCGGTGAAACTCGAGCGACTAGAGCGATGCGATAGGAGCGTTTAGAGCGAAGCGAATATTCGCATCGTGTCCGGTCTGAACGCAGCATTAAAGCGAGCTCCGCGCTGCACTGGAAACGCGCCATTACATCACCAGAAGTCCTAATTTAAGGGGTCATTTCTCCCAAAAAAAAATGTTTTACTCACTATATCAAAAGCCCCACCAAAAATATTTCCCACCAGCCGCCACTGATAAACACCTATCATGACAGGGCACCCACAGCCAAGTAACAATTACAAATGAATTAAGTCGGCATGGCGGCCCGCATTGAAAATGACTTAGGCCTACCTTTGATGATAAATCACTGAAACACAAAGTCCATCCTCCTGTCCTTTTGGATGAAGCACTTGATGGCGGGTCATGCAGCTGATCCTTTGCCACTCCAGTTTATCATTGGAACTCAAACTTGAAAATGACTCGGTTAATAATTTCGCAACGATGTCATCACTATCACTGAAGTGAGCCATCATGAACGAACCTATGCTATTTATAAATATATCGATCATATATCTATCGTTTAGATTTATGATTCGAAAATAATAAAAGTAGGGTAGACATGTGGATATTATCCGGCTGAACAAAACGTGCATTTATCTAACAGGTTCGTTTTCCATAGACCTTATTTCGAGCTATTTTCCAAAATTCTATGGAGAGGGAATCCGAGCGCGGCTTACTTCCGGGTTTTAGGACGCGTCACTGCACCACTTGCATAGACCTCACAGCGGGCGGAACTTTTCATAAAGTCCGCGAAAATAAAGCCCGCCCATTTAGAGGGAAGATATGATTGGTCAATTGTGCTGTCATTTGACAATACTCTCTCGTTGAGTTACTATAGCGGGCCCTCTGTGAATGTAGAGAGGGACCAACAAGCTCTCCCGTCTTCACATAACTCGCAGAGACGGCATTTAACCCTTCACATTCCAACAGAAAGTGAACAGGCAGATTCGAAGGATTTATTTCTTTGGAAATATTATTTTAAATACAATTAAATCAAGTTATTTTTGGTAAAACTAATGAAAATTGTAACAACAAAAACATATTAAAAAAAATATTTAAAAAGAAATGTTTTTTTTTAAAATATTTTCAAATATTATTTCTTAGAATATCTTAGGCCCTCACAGAGGGCCTAGAGGGCCCTGACGGCTCGCCACTGCTCAAAGTGAATTTCAGTGAAGTCAGTAGAGGAGGGGGAGAGGAGCCGTGACTGACTGCACTTCCTGTCTGCTGTGTTTCAGCTTCACTCAGAGACAACATGGCTTCCAGGTTAGAGGAAGAGCTCTGCTGTCCGGTCTATCAGGACGTCTTTAGAGATCCTGTTGTTCTGTCCTGTAGCCACAGCTTCTGTAAAGCCTGTCTGCAGACCTGGTGGACGGGGAAAGAAGTAAAGGAGTGTCCAGTCTGTAAGGCAAGATCATTGATGGATCATCCTCCCTGTAACCTGTCTTTAAAGAACCTGAGTGAGACCTTCTTACTGGAGAGAGGTCAGAGACCTCCAGAGGCTCTCTGCAGTCTGCACTCTGAGAAACTCAGACTCTTCTGTCTGGACCATCAGCAGCCAGTGTGTCTCGTCTGCAGAGATTCAAGAACACACACCAATCACAGATTCAGACCCATCAATGAAGCTGCTCAGGATCTCAGAGAGGAGCTCCAGAAAGCTCTGCAGCCCTTTCAGGAGAAACTGAAGCTCTTTGAAGAAGTTAAAGTGAAGTTTGATCAAACAGCAGGACACATGAAGGTCCAGGCTCAACACACAGAGAAGCAGATTAAGGAGCAGTTTCAGAAGCTTCACCAGTTTCTAGAAGAGGAAGAGGAGGCCAGGATGGCTGCACTGAGGGAGGAAGAGGAGCAGAAGAGGAGGATGATGGAGGAGAAGATGGAGGCTGTGAGCAGAGAGATAGCAGCTCTTTCACACACAGTCAGAGGCACAGAGGAGGAGCTGAGAGCTGAAGACGTCTCCTTCCTGCACAGTTGCAAGGCTGCAGTGGAGAGGCTGCAGCGCCCCCTGCTGGAGGCTCCACAGCTGCCCTCAGGAGCTCTGATAGACCAGGCCAAACACCTGGGCAACCTCAGCTTCAACATCTGGAGCAAGATGAAGGACATGGTGTCCTACTCTCCTCTCATCCAGGACTCAAGACAAGACACTTCACCCCAAAGTGCTCCTGTGGGGATTGTCCACAGTACTGAATGTATGTAAGTCGCTTTGGATAAAAGCGTCTAACAAATGACATTTAATGTAATGATTCATTTTACTTTCAGATGATAATACTTTTCACTTGGGCAATTGACAATTTTGAATGCAGGACATTCATTTCTAACACGTATTTGTACCTAGGTAAATAATCTGAATACTTCTTCCATCTCTGATTTTGGACTCTGTCACTGTTTTTAAAACATTAAAGGTCCCATGTCATGGCCATTTCTACTGATCATAATTCCATTGTTGAGGTCTACTAGAATAGATTTACATTGTTCAATGTTCCAAACTCACATTGGTTTCTCACAGCCTCTCTGTATAGTCTGTGTATTCACTCTCTGTCCTACACGGCTTGTTGGAGCTCCTGCCCCCCCTCCCTGTGAGCCCAGTGTGCTCTGATTGGTCGAGAAGCTGACAGGCTCGTTGCTGCTCGCACACACACAGACACACACACTGCTGCAGGAGCAGACAGGCTTGGCGATACAGCGAGAACAAGTGAAACTCATCCTGAGCACACACACACTCACAGCCGAAGTAAAAACAATAAGTGTGGCTTGATATTGAGAAAGAACAAGGTTTATAACGCTGTGAGAACGGGTCTGCGGAGAGCATTTCTTCACGATCCCAATTTAGAAGTCCGAAAAACGTTTACCCATTCAAACAGTCGTGGTAGATACCTTGTTTGTTTTAAACATCATAAATACACAAACAACAATGAATACTTGCAGGTTGTGTACCTGAATCTCCCGCTGGTCCAAACAAAGTAGGAACAGCATCGTTCTTCAGTGCCCTACGCTGTGCATATCCGGCATGCATCGCTGAAAGGTTTGTGAAGCTTTGTTTTGTGAAAGGCTGGCAGAGGGTGCGGCCATAGCTCTGGGCGTGGCTACTGGGTATCCCTACGTAGCGATACCCAGGAAGTAGGCTTGTTTGAGACGAGCGAGACCGACGCAGACCTGCGCAATTGCGATCAACGTCTTGCTCGTGCGTTGCATGATGGTTAGTCATTTTGTCCGACTTGCTCTGGAGGCTCGCCCACATGAGACGTTGAAATCTCGCGGGACAAAGACGCCCGCAGCCTTGAGAGCGATGTTTATCATCATGAAATTAATATCTATATATTTTATACTATACTTGCACTGCTTACCGTTTCATACTTTATATATCTTAGCATATCCATACACACTGTTCATACCCCTCACTGTTTATTCATCATTCAATTCATTCTATCTTTTATTCTGTAGATTGTGTACATTACTTTTCACTTCACTGCTTGTTGCACCGTTAGAAGTTAAACTGCATTTCGTTGTCTCAGTACCTGTAATATGTGCAATAACAATAAAGTTGAATCTAATCTTGAGCAGGAACAAATGTATTTACTTAGTACATATCTGACATTAACAATTAAACACATGTGTGCATTCTTTATAAATGCAAACCGAGTCAAGCCGACTCCGGAGGTGGCAGTATGCACCTTCAAGCTGTTTGCAATCAGCCAAAAAACCGAGAGAAGAAGAAGAAGCCGACGCCGACTCCGAGCTGTCTGATATTCTCGTCTACTTTCGAGGCGAGCCGCAGCTCGTCTCAAACAAGCCTGATGAGAAATCTCCAACGAGGCGTTCTGGGGCAGCACAGACAGGTCTTCTCTGTGTTAGAGTTGTACTCGCTACTTTGAGGGTTTGTGACTCTGCAGACCGTTCACATGCAGAAAAAGCTACATAACACACAAGGGGACGGGTAATAACCGGAAGAGCATGACATGGGACCTTTAAGTTATTCTCTCTCCGTCGGTGCGCAGGGCTGCTAATAATGCTAATGCCAGCAAATACAATGGCGGCTTCACAAAACTGTTCCGAGTTTTACGGGCCGTGGTTTGCAATTCGCCCAGCCAATCAGAAACTAACTTCATAGAACTAAAAGTATGCTTTAAAAAAGGTTTAATGAGATGATGGAATCAAAGCTGAACTGTATCACATAAAAAGGCACACATGCTGAAAACCCAACCCCAGCAGGGGGTCTGGGGGGATTCTCCCCCAGGAGAGTTTTAGAAATACTAACATATAAACTACGCATTCTGGTACACAGAAGCAAATAATAAAATAAATCTATTATTACCCGACATTTTAATAATATTTTATGCCATTGTTTGTTTTTCACTTTGTTTCACCACAAGGGGACGGGTAATAACCGGAAAAGCATGACATGGGACCTTAAATGTTTAATATTTCCAGAGACCCTTTCAGACCACTGCTGGAGAACAGGAGGGGGGGGGGGGGGGGTTGTCACATTCCAATGGCCCATTACTAGTTTAGTGACCACGATATCCATTTGTTTTTTGTCCTTTGTAAGTGATTCACTCGTGGGGCTGACCGAGGAATAGACCGCTTGTAGTTTGAGAGAAAATATATAGAAAAGTCCAGATGCGATTGAAAAGTAAGTTTATTCCAAAAAAGGCAAAAATAAATAAACGTTTTTTAAACAAACTATTTGTCATATAAACTGATACTTCAATGTTAAAGGCACAAGAACCAAGCTGTGACGCTCCCAACCAGCAAGCTCTAAAAACTGTTTGCTTCAGTCAGCCGCACCAGTAGGCGCCTGCAGCATCTCGAACTGCAGGAGTAACGCACTCAAGTTAAATAATAAATAATATACACCACAGAATCTCAGGCTATGTACTCTAAAAAGATAAAATAATATAATCTAAGGAAATGGCTCTGTTACGTCCCCCTCTAGGGTAGAGGAAAACAACACACACCAGAATAATATTATAATAGGGTTTAATAAATAACAATGAAGGTGTACAACAAGATGAAACAAAAATAGCCTAAGCCAAACAAAGAAGCCAAAAGGGCGCAAATCTACTGCTAGAAACAGAAAGAGGACTCTAAAAATGAGCCTAGTTGACACACCTGAGATCACTTCCAGTCAACACTAATTGGAAGGAGGCTGCAGGTAAACGCAGTTAACAACAGGGGAACCAAAACACGCTACTCTAAACACATAACAGAACACGCTACGCTAAACATATATCACCACACGCTACTCTCAACACATAACTAAACACCCCTAACACACAACACTAAACACAGTTCAGGGGGGTATACTACGAAGCAGGATGTTCTCTTAGTGGCTAAATTCAGGGAAAACTCCGGCTTTCCGGTCCTACGAAGCTGGTTCTCTTTTTAGCAGGCTAGATCTCCATGGTAACTTATGCTTAGCGGCTAACCTGGTCGGAACCAGGTTAGGTTGCAGGCTAAGAGCACAACTCAGTGAAAGCACCGCCTGCTGACCAATCAGAGCTCAGTGTGCAGAGTTTAAAGCGATCAAGTCATATTACAGGAGAAAGGAAATACAGAAAAGCTGCCGTCGCAGGAAAGACGGCCGGCAAAAATCACCGACTGTGTGAACGTGAACATGAATAGAATATCACCTCCATCTTCAGAGCAATCTGACTATTATAACATTAGAGTTAAGAAAGCTTACTGAAATATCTGCCACAACATAAGTAACCGGATCAGAGTAACATTAAGTACAGTCCGCGGCATATCACTTCATAATGAATCATATATCTCCTGATCTGAGTCAGCTGAGCCGTATCTGGCCGTGCAACACTCACAGCGTCACAGACTGGATGCAGAAGCATTATTTTAAGCAACACATTAAGTTGAGGAAACACTTGAGACAAATGTAATGAAAGTCAGATGGTGACTTAGACGGGCAGTGATATCATAAAGCTGTTAATGTACGCATTCAAACACTTGTTCTGTTCCCAGCTGTGTTCACCTTGCAGGTGCAGCTCTGAGGCTTTGATCCTGGATCAAGTGTTTAAGTCATGGATGTTTAAAGTTTAACTTCTTCATATGTCTAATATTATAGTTGACTTTTCATTCAGGAAGTATGACGCTGCGCTGTCAGTACGCTTCTCCATGTTTGTGATTGGTCTAATGCTCCAGATACCACCCCTTTCATGTGAACGCGCACCTAACTAGATAGGACACGGCTGGCTTGAGCGATCCACTTGATAACCAGCATCGTAGTACAGTTTAGCGAGAGCGCGTATGTTTTGGATTAGGCCAACCGGCTAACTCAAACATATCCAAGTTAGGTTGAACCAGCTTCATAGTATAGGCCCCAGGAGAGTCAAATACAATCTACTAGCTTAAGTTTGATGTGTCCACACAGGAGCAAGATGTGTGATAGCTGTCCCCAGGCTTTGTAGCGTCATCTCTGGCAGGTGTGCGCTGGGATGGCACGGGGATTGGAGCGTGTCGGGCCCGGAACCAGGAGTAGGTAGCCACTCACGTTGAAGCAACCACACAGCTCATTTACATGACAGGCTAGCAAAACAGGATCAACAGGACCGGAGAGGCGACAGCCGTAACACTCCCCCCCCCTTAAGACACAAACCCACAGGTTTTGTGAAACTACACACACTTTATCTAATAACACACCCACACGAATAACACTAACCAACCTGGACATGTCATCGGCCAACACACTCTCTGAGCCCTTTTATATGGCGGGTATCTAACCTGCTAGTCCCGCTCGATCAGAGCCCACTGCGTGAGCCGCTGGCGGTGCCGGTACAGGCGAGTCCATAACATGAAGGGATCGTAGCAAATACACATCACAATTAACCAAAAGCTAGATCCCACACAAATCTCAAGATATCGTAAGACTAACCGGAGATGACTAACTGATAGCCCAGCAGACACTCTCGGATTACCGGGAGAGTCGGTCTGGCGGGAGGCGTGTCTGAGCCGGCGTGTTGCGCTGGTCTCGCGACATCCTCGGGAGAAGGGGAAGCCACATCTTCTGGCTTTTTCTCAGACACAGCTTCATCTGGAAGCATCGGCACAAACATAGTATCAGACAATGTCACATCTGAGTCAGTCTTACGCCCCTGTGCACATGTGACTGCACAGCTAGGGAGTATTTATTACCTCAGGTGACCCTGCGGACTGAGGGCCGTCCATTACTTCCAGTGCAGGAATCACCTTACCACCCGCAATATCGTTTCCCATCAAGAATACTATACCTCGTATAGGTAACACGGGACACACAGCAACAGGGAAAAAAACTGTGACTAATATTGACTGCACATGTACAGTGTGTACGGGCTGTGGAACATAATCCATCTTAATGCCACATAGTATGGAGCCATAACCACAGGCTGACTGGTCATAATATAACATTGACCCTCTCCTGAAAATGCACATATTCTGTGCATTTCCAGGAGAGG